AAAGGTCAGTATAGTGTGTGAGTGGCTAGTATCTTTGCATAACATTGCTCAACCAAAAGTAATCATGTAAAAACACTGCTGATTACTGGCAGAAAAGGGAACCAGCAGAAAGCCAAGGTTGCAGGGCCAGGGTTTTGTAAAGTAAAGCCTTCCAGAGTCCAAAAGCAGGTAACTGATTATCACCAAGGTTCATTTTCCATCTGAAAGGGAGTTAAGGTCTATGTAGACGAGGTAAGTCAAGCATCTCCAACAATCAGACATATATAGGCCATCCCTGAAGTCCTGGTTTAAAGTCCAATATAATTTTCTATTCAGAACTTAGAGATCTATTTTGGTAGAGAAACATGTTGAAATTTACTGGAGGTGGGGTGGGGAGAACATTGCTATCTTTTCAGTCATTTTGATTTCTTAAAATCGTTTTGAAAAAGGGAGAAAAACTGGCATCAAAGAGAACACCAGACACAAGGTAAGACAGGTTTACTGGACTGGTTGTTCATTGGGGGGGGGTGTTTGTTCTCAGAGTACAAAAAAGTAATTCAGGCAGGGCATGGTGGCGCACGCCTTTAATCCCAGCACTCGGGAGGCAGAGGCAGGCGGATCTTTGTGAGTTCAAGGCCAGCCTGGTCTACATAGTGAGTTCCAGGCCAGCTGGGGCTACAGGGAGACCCTGTCTCAAAAAAAAAAAATAAATAAATAATGAAAAAAAATCTGAGAGATTGTACTAAAAAAATCTCTAGAGATTGAGCGCCAATGTAAACTGTGAACTTTTGGTGATGAAGATGTGTCACTGTGGGTTCATGGACTGTAATCCTGTTCCGGTCTGGAGTGGATTGTTGCGGTGTGGGGGCAGTGGGTGTATGAGGTAGCTCTGTACCCTCAGCTCAGTATTGTCATCAGTCTGAAAGCATTTTTAAAAGGTCTGTTTTGGGGGCTAGAGAGATAGCTCAGTGGTTAAGAGCACTGACTGCTCTTGCAGAGGACCCAGGTGTGGTTTCCAGTACCCAAATGGTGGCTAGCAACTGTTTGTAACTCCAGTTCCAGGGAATCTGATGCTCTCTTCTGGCCTCCTTGAGTATACATGTGGTACACATACATATATGCAGGCAAAATATTCATTCAGATAAAATAAACATAAATATATAAAAACTCTATTTTTTTAAGGTTGGGCATGGTGACACACATCTTTAATCCCAGCACTCAGGAGACAGAGAGGCAGGTAGATACCTGTGAGTTTGAGGCCAGCCTGGTCTACATACTGAGTTCCAGGACAGCTGGGGCTACAAAGCGACCCTATCTCAAAAAAGACACACACACACACACACACACACACACACACACACACACACACACCAAAAAAAAGTAATTCAGTAAATGAAACTAAGTGCAGAATTAATCAAGTGCCTCAAGTTTTGCACTACGATTCACACTTACCTTTCAATTACTTTTCTTTGACTCTCACTCCTCAAAGATACCACAACAGCTTCAACTCAGCCTCTAGCTTTTAGTTTCTCTGGTTTTATTAAGGCCAAAGACTAACTCTCAAGAGCATATATAAATCTTTATAGCTAAGCTCTTCAACAGACCGATCATCCTCCAAAGCAGCCATAATTAGCTTTCATATGGAAAGAAGCTGAATCTCTGCTCTGACCTCAGATTCCATTTGTGATTAGGGCTTTGCAAAATTGCAGGCCACAAAATAGGAGCTCTCAAGTTACAGAGTGTTAGTTCATGCTTGAGATGTTGCTCAACGGAGGCCCACCCCACGAAAAGAAATGAGATGCTTTCATTCCTGACTGTACGTATGTTGAAGCATGGTCTTAAAGGTGGTTTGCTGAAACCTTATCCACTATATTTATTTTTTACTGGAGTTTAGGGTAAAATAGACACTGAAACAAGCCATTCATACTTTAAACTTTAACAGTTATGGCTTGACGACTGAGTCTTGCCTATTTATTCCGTGTCTGAACATGACATATGTCTTTTTTTTAATGTTTTTTGTCTTTTTATTTTATGTGTATGAGTGTACTGCCTGCATGTATGTGAGTGCACCCGTGTCATGCAATGCCTCGGAGGTCAGAAGAGGGCTTCGGATTCCCCTGGAACTGGAGTTAAGGACGGTTCAGAGCAGCCATGTGGGTGCTGGAAATCGAACCCAGGGAACGTGACATATCTCTTTACACAACAAACTTCTTTAAAATTTGGCTAAAAAGGGACTGGAGAGATGACTCAGTGGTTAAGAGCACTTGCTGCTCTTACAGAGGACCTGGGTTCGATTCCCAGCACCCACATGGCGGCTACAAACCGTCCTTAACTCCAGTTCCAGGGGAATCCGAAGCCCTCTTCTGACCTCCGGGGCATTGCATGACACGGGTGCACTCACATACATGCAGGCAATACACCCATACACATAAAGTAAAAATAATAAATAAAATTTTAAAAATTTGGCTAAATAAAAAAAAATTGTTGCAGCTGGGCAGTGGTACACACCTGTAATTCCAATACTCAGGATCAAAAGTTGAAAACTTGGGCATTCAAGGCCAGCCTGGTCTACACAATGAGTCCCTGATGACTCTTCTGTATGAATTTAGTCTTAAATTCTCTGTAACAACTCTAAATATAAATTACCATTAGTTAATACTTTAAAATGTTAACTACATAATACTGGATTTTGCTTGAATGGCTCAAAAATACCTGTATATTAAATCTCAATATTATTCCTTCCAAAAAAAATTTTTAGAGGAGCCAATATTGAGATTTTAGAAAAGCAAATAGTTTTTTTTTTTTTTTTTTTTTTTCTTTTTTGAGACAGGGTCTCCCTGTAGCCCCAGCTGTCCTGGAACTATGTAGACCAGGCTGGCCTTGAACTCAGAGATCCGCCTGCCTCTGCCTCCTGAGTGCTGGGATTCAAGGCTGGCTCCACCACACCCTGATTTAAAGATATTTTTAAAAGCTGAGAAATAGGGCTGTGAGAACAGGACCAAAGTAGACAGATACCATTACTTGGGAAAGTGTGGCAGGACTGACAAGCCGAGACAGGAATTCTTGCTGAGTTTCCAAAATAACTTGATCCTTGAATTTGCTGCTTGCACGTGTCCCTTAGAACTCCCTCATATCACTATTACTCTCGCTTTCTTTTTCTTTTTTTTTTAAATTTATTACTTTTATGTGTATGCGTGTATTGCCTGCATGTACGTAAGTGCACCCGTGTCATTGTACTCCTGGTTTTTTTCTTTCTTTTTTTTTCTTTCTTTTTTTTTTTTTTTTTGGTCTTTTTGAGACAGGGTCTCTCTGTAGCCCCAGCTGTCCTGGAACTCATTATGTAGACCAGGCTGGCCTTGAACTCACAGAGATCTGCCTGCCTCTGCCTCCCGAGTGCTGGGATTAAAGGCCCACGCCACCATACCCGGCACTCCTGGTTTCTTAAAGGATCTTTTCCTCCTTCCCCATTTCTGGCTCTCACTCTAATCAACATCCACAGACTCACCCTTATCTGTACTATGGTACCACATCTCAGCTCTTCCTCATGGCTCCACATTCTACACTTGATTTGGTCCAAAAGCTGAGACATCATGATGGTCCCAGCACAAGTTACATGAACTACCCAGCATGGGACGTGGACATCACTTGGAGCCACACCTGGAGCCACACCCTCCTGAGGGCTTTCCTCCACAGACATTGCTTCTCACTCCCTGCCAGATGTCCAGTGAGGCTCTTCACTTTGCAAGGAAAGCTCCTTGGAATAATTCCATATTCCTACACCTCCTGGCAGCTACTGTCACGGCCCACCCATGTAATAGAGTAAACATACTGTCTACTGCATGCAACTCCCATGTTGATGTGGGAAGCACTCTGTCATCAGGACCCACATAAACCAGACCCCCAAAGACCTGTACCCCAATTCTGGGGGGAGGCGTCAGAAACAGGAGGAGGATGGGGCTTACTCCTCCACTCCAGGTTCAGAGAGAGCCCCTGAGTCAAAGAGCACGGAGGAGAGTGGAGAGTGATAGAGCAGGGCCCCATGCCCTCTGGCCTATGCATATACTCACACACATGTGTACATGCATGTCCCAACCATGGTATTTTGAATCCCGTATTTTCTGTGACTAAAGTCTGATAGTCATACAAGTAACTAACAAGTAAAAGTGATATATTCTAGGCTCCATAAAGAGTGAAGAAGCTCAAGGCACAATTGACATCTCTTGTTTCTACAGTCTTCAGTCTTTGCCTGTCCTGCAGCTATCTGCTAAAAAAAAAACAAAAAAACAAAAAAAACTGCATTCTAAGGCACGAAGAAATTCACCTACGATATTCTCCAATTGTCACCTTTTTTAAAAATGTTAAACTCTGTCTCCCTTCTTCTCAGCCTAGGCTGCTGTGGATCTTGCTATACACCTGGCCGTTACTCATTAAAAAACAAAAGTGAACAGTTCCCAAACAAGGCAAATTTCCAGGTTTACCTAAAATCTCATTCTCATGGTTCCTAAAATGTTTGGGACAGAAATCAAGGCAACCCTCGCTGTATCCTCTAAAATCCAGCGCTAAGGACCGCCTCCTTCATCTTTCAGACTTCGGAACTGCACAGCACACTTTTTACTTTCTCAAACTTAATGTCACCTCTAGGCTGTAAGTTCCTGGCTGACCTCGGGCCTCGGGCCACCGGACTTCTGACTTGACAGTTCAAATGACCTGGACATAGGTGCCCATGATGGTCAACAGGCACCATGAAGACACATTACGATTAACAAGCACCAGAAAGCGCTTCACGGAGTTTTAACGACGGACAACCACTGGGGACGACGGCCGCCGTCTGGCTGGCTCGCACGAAGGTCCAGTAGGTGAATAAGTGATAAGAATGAGCTTCTCCAACTCAGCAAAAGTCCCGCAGAGCTTTCCTTCCGGGAACCCGGCAGCACCGGCCACCGAGGTGGCGCCGCCCTGCAGACCGCGGGTCCCGCCCTGGCCGCGACCTCCTGCCCTCCCCGCCCGGGCTGTCCACCGACCTGCGCTGCTCCGGGAAGGCCGGGCGTGGTCTCTCCCCGCGGCCCCGGCTGCACAGACCCTCGGCTCGCGTCGATCCCCACGTGACGGCTCGCTCGGAAGGCACACCCGGCTCCCGCGGCGACGGCAGGGCGAGGGCGGGGCGTGGAGCGGCCGGGAGCTGTGGTGGAGCCCGGCACCACCCGCACTCAGTCCGGCCGGCCGCCCGCCGAGCCATCGAGCGCACACTGGGGCAGGCATGACTATTTCACCGCCGAGACAGAGATGGAAGCGCCGGCGTGTGAGTCACGTTGGACAGTGGTCTTGCCGGCCGGAGGATTCCTGCCGCAACTACTTTTGTCTGTTTCCATCCCCAGCCAGAATCCGCGGTTTGGCCTAGGGGCGTCGGAGGCGAAGATGCACTGACGCCCGGAACGATTCTGTGAGGGCCGCGCTAGGTGTGGACGGCGGAGCTGCCCGGAAGGGACCCGGGGAGCCGTAAAGGAGGGACGCAGGTAGGATGAGCTGGCCGCTTACCTGCGTTTTCCCCACTAGACTCAGGACTCTGCGCGAACTTCTTAGTTTTTATTTTGAAACAAGCAAAGAAGTTGCACACGTGACCCTGGAACCTGCTGAGACTTGACGCGCTGACTCCGCGCCGCAGGGCTGGGCACATCTACAGTCACCGTAGCTGTGCACTGCGTCCTGCTGGTGACCAGAATCCGGAAAACCTCGACATTTACACCCTTGGCACGTTTGAAGGTGACTCGCCAACCGTCTTTTGTTCTTTGGCTTTCTTTAGAACAGTCTTCATTTTGACTCTGTCAGATATTTAGGCATGATTAGATTTAGACTAGGTAGCTTTGAGGACTCTCAACATCCTATTGGTTTTCTTTTTTGATTGCCTCTGATTGAATTCCATAAGCTTTCTTTTTAAAATATTTGTAATGTGTATATTTTAGGGGAGTGTCTCAAGCTCTTATTTGAAGATATTTGTAAATAACCTTGTTTCTCATCAAACTTAGAATTCATATTTTTATGTCAGTATGGAGTCAGACTTGCCTACTTCATTAAATAGGTAATATTTTTCTGTCGTTTACTTATTTTTATATTTATTTATGCATATGGGTATGCCTGCGTGTGTGTATGTGCATCATGTGAGTGCAGGTGCCTGCAGAGCCCAGGAGAGACAATTAGATTCCCTGAAACTAGAGTTACAGGTTGTTGTCCGCTGCCTGATGTGGGTGCTGGGAACTGAACCTGGGTCCTCTGCAAGAGCAGCAAGTGCAGTTAACCACTGAGCTATGTCTGCCGCCCATAACCACTGAGCTATGTCTGCCGCCCGCCGCTATGTCTGCCGCCCGCCATCATTTCCTCTGATGATCAGATTCCCATTTGCTCGGTAGATGCTTCATTCGTCTGTGTCTGTTTTGAGTTCTCCAACAATCTATTGATGAATGTTTCAAAATACAGACGTTGTAGAGACTTTTACGTACTATCCATCATCCAGATTCAACATTATCTCCCATTCTTCGAGCACACCCTAACTTTTTGGCAATATAAGATGTCCCGGGCTCATCCAACCACAGGCTGGATGTAGCAGTTTCTTAAGGAGCCCTGGTTCTTTGTAAGGCAAAATTGTATGTATCAACACTAGGTTTACTTGGTGCTGAGTGTTACTGCCCAAGCTGCCTCAGTGGATGCAGCTAGGAAATATTTGCACATTCCAACTCAATGTAACACATCTGTATACACACACCATGCACATGCTTACAGGCATAGTTCTTTTTCTCACTGTATATATTGAAAAAAACGTGTTCACAGTAATACCTCCGGTCCAGCATGGTTCATTCCAGATCTGCCCTTCCACATTTCTTATTCTACAAGAGACTACAGAATAATCTGGCTCCTGATATCCTTGAGATGTCTGCTTATTTGAACACACACACACACACACACACACACACACACACACACACAGCTGTCCTATAGCACATGCTGCCCTTCTACATGGAACTTCAGGGTCCTCTTCTTGATTGTACTGCTCAGGAGATTAAGAAGAGTTTCTTTAAAAGGCATTCTTAAACCAGGCATGGTGGTGCATGCCTTTAATCCCAGCACTCAGGAGGCAGAGGGAGGCAGATCTCTGTGAGTTCAAGGCCAGCCTGGTCTCCATAGCAAATCCAGGCCAGCTAGGGCTACAGGGAGACCCTGTCTCAAAAAGACCAAAAAAAAAAGTTTGTGGATGTAATGTTGCTAGCACTTAGTCACATGAGCCTGACCATAAGAGAATTTTTATTTTTATCATTAACACATTGAGGTGGGGGGAATGCCATAATTTCCTACATGTGGGTAAGCGTAATTGGCAAGGGGTGGAGAGCACTTCAAAACGGTTCTGTGGTCAGCCATGATTCTTCTTTGCCTTACACCTGCTGTGATGGTTAGTTTTGTCAGCCTGACACAATACAGAATCACTGGGAAGACAGTCTCAAGGAGGGATTGTCTGGATCAGGTGGGCCTATGGGCTTGTCTGTGAGGATAGTCTTGATTATATAAATTGCTGTGGGAAGACCTAGCCCATTATGGGCAGCACCATTCCCTGGGGTTGGGTCCTGGACTGCATAGAGCGGGGAAAGGGATTTGAGTACCAGGCACGCATGCATTCATTTTCTCTCTGCTTTCGACTGCGAATATGAATCGCTGCTTCGTGTTCCTGCTGGGTGGAGATCCTGATGCTTTGACTCCCCACAGTGATAAACTGTAACCTGGAGCTGTGAGCTAAAATAAACCTTCTCCCTAAGTTATTTCCTGTCAAGGTATTTATCACAGCAACAGAAAGGAGACTGAAACACCTGGCTTCATATCTCAGGGTCAGAACCATGCTTCTGATTAGGAAGACCAGGGAGAGTGACCAGAAAACCAATGCAATGACGCTGTTAGCTGGGGGGGCGGGGGGGGGGACACCAGAGAGCTCCTCTGCTTTAATACAGTTGGGAAGGGGTGTTGGGGGGCAGTGACCCTGAAAGGGTGAACAGCAAGACTGGAAGTTCCATCAGAGAGAATGACCTGGCAAGCCTTGTACTTGCAGTGGCCACAGAGAGCAGTTTGGGTAATGGGAACCACAGCAGACGCAGGGGAAGGGAGATGACTGCGGGGAATCAGGAGAGTAGAACTGAGAGGAATTAGAAGAACGTCCTTCCTCTGCTTGTTGGTTTTTCCCTGCCTCAAAGTCCCTGATGGGAACCACAGGAAGCACCGTCGTGTGCCAAATTAGTCACAAAGTTCACCTGTCAAGGTGAAGGCACAAAATTTAATAACATTAGCAGCTCAGTTCTAAACATAGGCCAAAACCCAAGAAATAGAACAGACAGCGCCTGATCTAGACCTGAGGAGGGCTGTGTTAAATGTCACCCAGATCCAACGCTTCTGCTTCAAGCTCTGTGGGCAAGCTGCTTATTTACCTACAGAAGGTACCTTAAGATAAGTTCTTAGTAGCAGGTAACATGTCCCAAAGGACTTATTTACCAATTAAGGATTTATATGAATGTGAACTGATGATAGATGATTATCTACTTAAAAATCAAATATGAAGCCAGGCGTGGTGGCACGCGCCTTTAATTCCAGCACTCGGGAGGCAGAGGCAGGCCAATCTCTGTGAGTTCAAGGCCAGCCTGGTCCACATAGTTCCAGGACAGCTCGGGCTACAGGGAAACCCTGTCTCAAAAAAAGACCAAAAAAAAATGTTGAAATGACACACAAATAATATTAAGGCTCAAATAATCTGTAGTAAGAATTTAGGACTGCTTTTCTGACTCATGTAGTTGAACTTAGCAAAAGGCCAAAAGTCTTCATGGAGGATAAACTGTATCATCAACGGGGAAAAAGTATTTAAGCTTGTGTTGGGACTGGAGAGGTGGCTCAGCAGCTAAGAGTACTTGCTGTTCTTCCACAGGAGACCTGAGTTTGGTTCCCAACACACATGTCAGATGGCTCATAACTGCCTGTAACTCCAGCTCCAGGGTGATCTGCTGCCCTCTTCTGGTCTTCATGTGAACCTGTACACATGTAGCATGTGTGTGCCTGTGCACGCACACACACACAAACAATAATTTTAAAATTTTTTATTTATTTTTACTTTATGTGTATGAGTGTTTTGCTTGCATGTATGTAAGTGCACCCGTGTCATTCAATGCACTCAGAGGCCAGAGGAGCACGCTAGGTCCCCTAAAACTGGAATTACAGATGTTGTTAGCTGCCAGGTTGGTGCTCAGAACCCAACCTGGGTCCTCTTCAAGAATAACTGCTCTTAACCACTGGGTTATGTCTCCAGTTCCAATAAA